CGCGCATCAGAAGCTCTTCCGATCTTGATGAGGACTGTAGCGTGCAATGAGAGGTTTAGCGTGCAAATTTTTATAAATGTATAGAGAATGTCTCGATGATTAAAAACCAAAGGAATAAATCCTTGGAATGAATGCTTAGAGTAACAAATTTTTAATGCCAGACATGTGAGTGAATACCTTGAATACCTGAAAGCTTATTTAGTGAAAATCACTCATTTGACATGAGAAAGAGAGAAAGCGGAAAAGGGATTTAAGAGACCGTTTAATTTAGAGCTCACATAAAATATTTGGACATATTATACGTTCGATTTATTCAAACGGTTTGAAGTAAAAAAAAAAAGATTTGCGCGCGTGCGCGAATTCAAATATTCCGGACAGTTTGAATCTTTAAGCGGTAATTAGTCTGTAAAATCAATTTACATTTACAACTCAGACAATTTAAACGGTAAAAAGAATTAGAAACATATATATATATTTTTTTTTGGAAATAAAGAAACGTTTTTACACAAATCTTTCTCTAAATTTAAATTCAAATTATAAGTTTCAAACTTTCAAATTTGAAGTTCGCACAATTTGATTGGTCGAACCGTATCTTTAATTCAAAAGATTTGAATTGTTTGATATTCGAACTTGAGATTCAAATTGTCCAAATTATTCAATCTCTCACCTCTGTCATTTTCGAGTACTTTAATTCATATTGCTCTTTGCTGTTCACATCTTATCTTTCAGTCTAGAGACAAAATTCATATGTTTGGCGCCGTTACGCAGGCCGTTAGAATTTACGAACGCGCAAGCAGCGCTCGTCTAATTAATATCTGCACTTAAATCTGGGATCTAGATCTGAACGAACCGCTAGCTCTCCAGCCAGCCAAGGTGTACCGGCTCCTGATTCCGTTGCTCGTTGCTGTTGTTTCTAGCGTCGTCGTGTGAATGTTCACTGACCCGACCGCTCGAGTCCGGCTGGATCTGCAAATCTCTGAAATTTGCAATCTGAGGACAGGATACGCTTCGATTTATTCGCGTATAACGAGACGCGGATGATGTATCAATCGACGAAATTCGACGAAAGTGCACGTTTCGAAAGCTCCTATTAGATTGAAAGAAATATATAAAGTCTTATCCCAAGTCTTTGGATTTTAAAATTCTGGAAATTACTATTTTTCCGACTCCCGAATTGAAATTTTGTTTTTATTTTTCTTCCAGTTTTAAAATATTTATAATTTCTAGATACAATAAGTTTTTTTTTGTATTTTCTATAATTTTCTAAATAGAAATTGTAAGTGTTAAATATTAATATTAAAAAATATTAAAATCTGACTATTTATCAAAATAGATGTAACAATTTTAGTTAAAAACGAATGTAAAAGAAAAATTTTAATTTAAATTGTTACTAATATGAAAAAAATTTTTAAGTAGGATTATATCAAGATAGTTTTTGAACTTCAATTTAAGAACTTAAATTATATAATAACATGGAATTTTTAAAACATTATATATTAAGCTTGGCAAATTATTCTACTAAAATTAATATAATTTAAATTCTTTTTAAAACTTTTTGTTTTAATAATAAAACAGTTGTAAAAATAATGTTATATATAATATGTTTATAGAATGTAAAGTTTGTTATATCTTGTCTTAATAATTGAGTAACCACCAAATTAAATAATCACCATTCTCTAAATTTAGATTTTCTGATTGTATGATAAAAGATAAATAAGAGATTCACGTTTATCGATTTTTTCGTCTGCATATTCGGATTTTGCGAGATTTGAAACTTTTAAAATTTCGTTAAAGTAACGTCCAAGGTTCGGAGATGAAATGTATCGGAGATAAATCTCGTAAAAATGTTTCTTTCATTTTTTTTGTTTTTCCTTCTTGAAGGAAATGAAAAATGGAAGACCGATACACACTTTCCGCCTGTAGTTTTCACGGTACAACTGCAACGAGGCGGTTGTAGACAATAAATCCTCGTCGCGATTGCAGCGGAAACGCGAGTGTATATCCTGCGCAAGAATAAGCTCGCGGAGCAATCACAATGATTACGCGCGGTGGTTTTTGTTAATAATTCAAATTATGTCGGCAATTGATCAAAGGTGGCTTTTTTTAACAATTCAAATTATGTCGGCAATTGATCAAAGGTGGAAATTCGCTCCAAGGAATTTCCAGATGATTAAATATCAAATAATATAATTTCTTCTTTTTCCTACTTTTCAGATTCCCAATTTCCTTTTATAATAATACACTTCTTCTTATATTGTGGGTCTCTCGTTTTCTTGCTTTAATGTAAAGAAGTCAGAAGGAATTGGCAAACGGAATGCGTCCCTCGAGAATTTACGGAAACGTTTTAGTGTGATTGGCGAGGACCATCATCGGCATCCGAATCTCAATGAAAATCCTTCTGCGCAAAACATTCGCAGTATATAACATTTCATGTAATATGTCCCCGGCGATATGTCGTTCGCTTTCTTCGGACCGGAGTTGCCGGAGTTTACAAATGGCACTGCATCGCACCCGCGGCGGCACAAAATATGGTGGACTCATTCAGCGTTTCTCAAATCAATTTGAGTTTTTACGCACGACGCAACAACCGGCGAAACAAACTTATGACTGAAAAATCAATAAACTTGCTGCGTTATAATCGCTTAATTTAATTCGCCCGGTTTCATCAACCTTTACAGTACATTTATGATTCATCTTTCAGAAATCTTTAGTCGAATCATAGTTGCAAAAATTTACACGCGGTACGCATAAAAATAAAGTAACTAATATTTAAAATATTAGTTGTTAATATTTAAAAAAAATAACTTTTAATTTTTTATGTTATTATATTATTAATTAAATATTTATCTTCAAATATATTTTGTATAGAAATTAATTTTGTTAGTTGAATTATTTTATTTAAAAAGGAAAATTGCTTAGGAAAAGAAATTTAATTTCAAATTATTAATCTATAAATATAGTATTTTATTATATATTTCAAAGCTATTGATTTTCAAATTTTTTTCAAATTCTGATTCTAAAACCTGTTTAATATAATTTATGTGTCCAAACTCCAAATACGGACGACGTTCGCGCGATTTGAGTATCACTGCGCTATTGGGACTGCATTCCCACTACGGGGCCCGATGCGGCGTTTGAAGACTGCATTTAGAGCGGCGATGCAATGCAGCAAGGAGATAACCCACATGAAGAGCTGTCGGTCCGACCGGCGGTTATGCTGAATAAAATGTCTGATTTGCTGTACTGCCACCGATTCTGATTTCGTGCTCGGGGCGGCACGATGACCAACATTCCACGCTGCGTTTATGGGTCCTCCGTGTCGATCACGGATGATCGTTGTCCTCCTTCTCTCACAGAAAGTCGGCGGACAAGGGAGAATGAGCGAGAGAGAAAGGGTTCAACGGGAGAGACTCGAGGAAGAAGGGAAAGAGAGACACGTCGACTGAGAAGGGATGGGGGAAAATGCACGGCTACTCTTTATGGGATATTTAATAAGAAGCCTTATCGTCCAGCGGTGAAGTTAGATACAGAGGCAACGAGGCATCCGCGTCGATATACGCCGATGATGCACGTTTAACTGCCACGGCTGTCATCGGGCATTACGTCGACGAAAAATACGATGGGGGGCCCCGAAGAGATCGGCACGTTACATCGTGATTTGTGCACTCGGCATAATCAGGCTTGATGGCGATCCATGGCATCGAGAAGCGTTTCCTCTCGATCGATGTCGAAGCAACAATGTGGATCCACACAACTTCGGGTATCTAAAAATAATTGAGCTTAATAAATCTTATAGATAAAATATAAATAAAAGATAAGAAAAAAGGATAAAGTAGAAAAGAGATGGAGGAAGAAGAGAAAAGAAAGGAAATTTGCATTTCTTTTACAAGAATTGGTTGGTTCTGTTTGTGTCATTTCATTCTTTTATTCGTTTTAGATAACGTCATAATTATCACCAAAGTTTTTATGATTGACGAATCGTTGCCCTGATGACGACCGAGTTCTTTACATCATTTTCTATCTACATTCAAGCATCTAACGTTAAACGGTCGTTTTATTTTATTACCAGTTTTCACAGTTCGTGCGTCGTTTTCGGACAAGCGAGCGGGCCAAGATCCAAAAAAAAAAACCCCCCGAAAAAAGAAACGTGATTTCTGTACGAGTCGGTGTTAAAGTTAGGGCGCACAGGTAACGGGGGC